CAGAGCAGCCGGGTAGGGTGCGGCCAGGCCTGGAGCAGCAGCTGCCAGGCTGGGAGCGGCCAGGCCCGAAGCAGCTGGGCCTGGAGCAGCCGGGTCGGGTGCGCCCAGGTCGGGTGCGGCCTGGCCCGGAGCAGCAGCAGCCGGGCTGGGAGCGGCCAGGCCCGGAGCAGCCGGATCAAGTGCGGCCAGGCCCGGAGCAGCACCAACCACGCCCGGAGCAGCCAGGTCGGGAGCGGCAGTGGCAAGATCCGGAGCAGCTGGTTGTGGAACGGACCAGAGCAACAGAGGCCAGGCCTGGAGCAGCCAGGCCCGGAACAGCTCACTCCTCGCCTACCCCCGCCCCAAGGCTGCCTCTCAGACATGGCTGGAAACTTTTGGGGGAACTTTAGGGTCTGCTGAATCAAATGAGGAAGGCTTAGATCTGGATGTGTTGAGTTAGTATAGCGCTGGGTATTGAGTGCCTTGTGTGGGGTCTGGATGAGGTTGGTTGATCTATTTGGAAATGTCTTTTGTGTGAAGTGTATCCTTGGGCATGTGGAGGTATTATTTGATTTGAGAAAATGCTAAGTAACTGATTTATTATCTGAAAAATTTCAAGTTCTGAAAGTTTAACGTCTCTTGCCAAAAACAGGTTTTAAAGCTAACACCTTAATTTTAATGGAGAAAGGGAATGACAAGCCCTTCCCACCCAGAACAGGTAATCCAATTCCAACCAGCAGCTATGTTTAAACAATGTGTCCATTTACACTTGAATGGCTATGCGTTTTGATAGCCTAAGGACAAGTTTACATGTAAACAAGTTTGCTCTCAATTCCCAGGGCAGAAAAAAAACAAGGTTTAAAATTATTAGATTTTAAAATTTATTCTTAGATGTGTAAAAGCTTATTAATTAAAAAAAACAACAACAACAAAAAAGGAGATTGAAAAACCTGTTGAACAATAATAGCGGTTCATTGTAGTAGAGTTGGCGATATGGGAGGGGAGTGGACTGACAGTTCTTGGGGAAAGGGGGAGTGGTAGATGTGGGAAGAGACTGAACATAAACTGTGCACCTATGAATGAGGACAATGGGGAGTGGAGAGGGGGCGGAGGGTGAAGTGGGAACCTGGTGGAAGGGGGAAGAAATGAGGGACCTTTGTAATAATATGAACAATAAAGATTGATTTAAAAAAAGAAAAAAGAAAAAAAAAGAAATGAAAAAACAATCACATAACAAGGGTGCCAGAAGTAAAGGAATCTGAGCAAGGAACAGAAAACCTGTTTGAAGAAATTATGACAGAACACTTCTCTGCCTTTGAGAAGAAAAAAAAATCACACAAGTCCAGGAAGCACAAAGGATCCCAATCAAGATGAACTCAAAAAACCTACACAAAGACACATCATAATTAAATTGCCAAGTGTAAAATACAAAGAAAGGCTACCAGAGAGAGACAGAAAGTTACCTACAAGGGATTTCCCATTAGACTATCCACAGACTTCTGAACAGAAACACATCAGGACAGAAGGAAATGGCAAAAAGTATAAAAAGTGATGAAAATCAAGAGACTACATCCAAGAATACTTTATCCAGCAAGGCTATTCAAAATTGAAGGTGAACTCAGGAGCTTCACTGACAAAAAAAGGCTAAAGTAATTTACAACCATCAAACCAGTAATGCAAGAAATGCTAAAGGGACTGTTGTTAAAAAAGAATAGAAAGGGAAGCAGGAACACGGGCATAAATTGTTCCACTATGTCAACCAACAAACATCTATTAATAATAATAAACATAAATGGCTTAAATGTTCCAATCAAAAGACATAGGGTAGCTGAATGGATAAGAAAACATAACCCATATATTTGCTGTCTACAAGAGATCAACCTCAGAACAAAGAACTCACACAGACTGAAAGTGAAGGTATGGGGAGAAAATAGTTTTCAGGAAAATGGAAATAAAAAAAATAAAATAAAATAAAATAAAATAAAATAAAATAAAAGCCTGGGTGGCAATACTTATATCTGATAAAATAGACTTCAAAGTGAAGGCTATAACAAGAGATAGGAACTAACTGACATCTTCAGAACATTCCTCCTCAAATCTAGGAAATATGCATTTTTCATAAGTGAACATGGGACATTTCCTTTTTTTAAAATATACTTTGATTTTTTTACAGAGAGGAAGGGAGAGGGATAGAGAGCTAGAAACATCAATGAAAGAAAAACATCAACCAGCTGCCTCCTGCACACCCCCCACGGGGGATGTGCCCGCAACCAATGTACATGCCCTTGACCGGAATCAAACCTGAGACCTTCCAGTCAGCAGACCAAAACTCTATCCACTGAGCCAAACTGGTTTCGGCGACATTTTCAAAAATAGACAACATGTTAAGGACACAAGCCTAAGCGTCTACAAATTCAAGGAGACTGAAATAATATCAAGCATCTTCTGAGACTACAATGGCATGAAATTAGAAGTCAACTACAATAAAAACACTCAAAAACAATAAAACACATGGAGGCTAAATAGCATGCTATTAAACAATGAATGGATTAATAAAAAGATCAAAGAAGAAAGAAAAAAACATTCCGAAAGTTGGGAAGGTAATGGGAGGATGAGGACAAATATGCAATATATTAATTAATCAATGAAGAAATTAAAATGTAAAACAAACAAACAAAAAAAAACATCCTGGAAACAAATGATAAAGAAAACACAACAATCCAAAATCTATGGGACACAGTGAAAGCAATCCTGTTCATAGCACTATAGGTCTAACTCAAAAAAAACAAGAAAATCTAGTATTAAGTTACATAACGCTATAACCTAAAGAATTATAATGAGAACTGTTAGAAAAGCCCAGAGTAAGTAGAAGAAAGGAAATAATAAAATTAGAGTGGAAATAAATGACATAGAGACCAAAAAATACAATATAAACATCAATGAAACGAAGAGCTACTTCTTAAAAACAATAAACAAGATTGATGAACCACTAGCCAGACTCACCAAGAAACAGAGTGTCAGCCTGCAGACTGAAGAGTCACAGGTTCAATTCCAGACAAGGGCACAAGCCCAGGTTGCAGGCTTGATCCCCAGTTGGGGGCCGTGCAGGAGGCAATCCATCAATGGTTCTCTTCCATTGATGTTTCTATCTCTTTCTTCCTCTCCCTTCCTGTCTGACCCCACAGAAATACAAAGGATCATAAAAAAATATTATGAATGACTTTATTCAAACAAATGGACACTCTAGACCAAATGGACATATTCCTAAGTAAATACAACCTTCAAAAACTCAATCAGGAAGAATCAGAAAACTTGAATAGGCCGATAACTACTGATGAAATTGAAGCAGTAATAAAAATAAAAAAATAAAAAGCCTTGATCTGGACGGTTTCACAGGGTAGTTTTACAAATTTCAAAGAACTAACTATTCTCCTTAAACTATTCAAAAAAAATCCAAGAGGAGGGAATACTTCCAAGTTCTTTCTATGAGGCTAGAATTACCCTAATTCCAAAAACAGATAAAGATACCACAAAGAAAGAGAACTATAGGCCAATATCCCTGATCATAGATCCTAAAATCCTCAAAATTTTAGCAAACTGGAGCCAGCAATACAGTAAAATGATCATAAATGATCAATTGGGATTTATTCTGGGGATGCAAGGGTACAATATTCACAAATCAATAAATGTGACTCAGCATATAAACAGATAGCAAGACAAAAATCAAATGCATCATTTCAGCTGATGCATAAAATACATTAGCCAAAAATCTAACACCCCCCTTTTTATTAATAAAAATTCACAGAAAGTGGGAAGAGAGAAAGCATACCGTAACATAATAAAAAAATATACATGATAAAGTAACAGCCAACATCATACTCTATGGACAAAAAACTAATACCATTTCCCAGATGAACATGAACAAGACATGGATGCTCTCTTTCACCACTCTTATTCAATATATTACTGGAAGACATAGCCATGGCCATAGTGATCAGACAAGAAAAACAAAACAAAACATAAAAGGTATCAAAATTGGAAAGGAGAAAGTAAAAGTCCCATTATTTGTAGATAACTTGATACTGTAAACAGAAAACTCTAAAGTATCCATCAATAAACTACTAGATTTTATCGAAACCGGTTTGGCTCGGTGGATAAATTGTCGGCCTGTGGACTGAAAGGTCCCGGGTTCGATTCCAGTCAAGGGCATGTACCTTGGTTGCAGGTACATCCCCAGTAGTGGGTGTGCAAGAGGTAGCTGATCAATGATTCTCTCTCATTGGTGTTTCTAACTCTCTCTCTCTCTCTCTGTAAAAAATCAATAAAATGTATTTTAAAAAATAAAAAAATAAAGGGGCCACATGCTGACTTGACAAGCTCAGGGGAGCCCTGTATGGCAGTCTTGAGACCTAAAGTAACCACAAAGGATGGTCTGAAATTAAACTTTAACTAAACACAGTTATGGTGGGTGGTTATATCCTAGGCTGGTATCTTCACTGACGAGATCAACCTTTACCTTAACTGGGCCTATTTGTCTTTTTGCATCTATGATAACATACCCTTGAAATATCTGGGTAACTTGTAACTTCCCTTTTTCTGGAGCCCCTGGGGCACAACCAAATGTAGTGGGCACCGGAACAGATACCATAAATTCCTTCATTATCATGTTAATTGTTCCTGCACCCACCTAAGTATGTGTCCATCATTTTACTTTTTATCCAATCCCAGGGGTTTCTCACCGCTTTGCTTTATCCCAACTCCTTAATCAACCACTAATGAATTTCATGGAACACATCTATGTCCCTCCTTTGATTGCAATGTATAAATACAATGTTACTCGCCATTCTCTGGAGCATTATCTCAATACGTTGAGGTTCAAATAAACTCACAAAAATTCTTTACAGGTTACAATGGTTTTTTTATGTTAACATTACCAACATCTTTAATTATATGAATCTCTGAAAAAACTGCTGACTGAACAATTAGATTAAGTGAAACACAAGTAAGCACAATAAAACTACCTGCTGGGAGTCACTTGATTTGAAAGCATCCTTAAGAATTTCAACTGCTCTTGAGGGATCAACATATTTCCTTTTAGTTCCAACAAGAAGTGCAAATAGATATCTCAGTTCACACATAAAAGGCAAATTCCGATGCTCCTAACGGAAAAAGAAAAAAAAAAAACTTTTAAATGAAGATTAACAAAATCTTTATTGGTATACAGATAATCATTAAAAATTAAACCAAAATTTAAGTAATATAGAATAAAAGAAGTCCAGCACTCATATATCATAATTTAAAAAGTGTCATGTAGGACACTCAAAGAAGGAATCAAGCACAAATTTCAGCGTAAATACCACATATTCATAGCAAATTATGTCATTCCCAGCAAGAATATCCTCCTCATTAAAGTCTGTTTATTATAATCCTTTTCCATTCAGCAATGACAGATGCTGCTGAGGACAGCAATAATAATCACTACCATTCAATGGGTGTTAACTACATACCAGGCATTATTTAAGAATTTTACCTAAATGAACCCATGTAAGCAAAAATCCCTCTTCCTCCATAAAGCCTTCCCAGACCTCTCTAAGTCAATGACCCCTTCAAACTGCATACCTTCTAAAATGAATGTCTTTTTAATAATAATTACTAATTACCACTATCATGTGATGATCCTGACTAATATTATTCTAATAATTCATCTAGATCTTAATGTATCTTCCACCTAGAGCTCTTCTGAAATCCTACTTAACTTTTCTCAATAAGACTGTAAACTTCTCAAAGATAAGAACCTCTATATCTCTTCCACAATTTTTGATACACAAAGCACACATTCAATTCTTACTGATTGATTAAACCAAAGAATAAAAACCCAATATTATCAATAATGAGCAATTTACTTTAAAATAAGGAAACTTTTAAAAATAATGTAATTCACATAAGTTAGTGAAATAATTTATGGCAACAAAATTAGTTCTTATACAGTTAGTTCTTGCAATAATAATTTTTCTTAATGACTTAGTATAATGTTGAGCATATTTTCATGTGCATATTTGCATATCTTATTTGGTGAAGTTTATGTTTACATATTTTCCCAAAACAGTAATAGGTTACTTGTCTTATTATTGACTTGTACAAGTTCTATGTATATCCTAGATAAAATTCTTTTATGTGGTACATGTTTGACTAATACTTTCTTCCAGTATGTGGCTTGCCTCTTCTTTTTGTATATATTTTTCAAAGATTACAATTTTTAATCTTAATGAAGTCTAATTTATCAATTTTAACAGATAAAACTTATTATGCAATTTAAATATTAGAAAAGTTTTCCAAGTTTACAGAGTTAGAATTATCATCATAAAACTGTAGGGGTGTGTGTGTGTGTGTGTGTGTGTGTGTGTGTAACTGTTTTCCCACTAATATAAACAATATAGAAATAGCTCTTTCCAGAATCCATTAAAAAAGGAATTCCAAGAAATAGGTGTAAGGGAATAAAATTGATTCTAAATATTTGTCATTTGATCTAAAACTATAGAATAATCACAAACAATATTGTCTGACATAAAAATGCTAAGTTATGGAGAATATGGACTTTATTTAAGTATAAGAAATTTCTTATTGATGATAGACATTAAATGCAAAAGTTTTAAATCAGATAGAAAACTGATCCATGACTTTTCTGAGGTACTTCCTATTCCCCTACAATGTCCTATATAAATAAGTTTTAAAAACATAAGTTCTACAAATTTTAATCCACAAAATAATTTTCATAAGTATTCTCAATTTCCTGAGATCAATTTATTTATCACTATATGTAAAGTCAGTGGAGTGTTTTGAGACACTCCTTGCCAAGTCACAAAGATAAAATAAACAACTTTTGAAAACTAAGTGGAATTCTAAAAAGCATATTTAAGAAGTAAAATACTTTAATATAATGAAACAAGAGGCCTGGTACACGAAATTCATGCACAGGTGTAGGGGGGGGAGGGGTGTCCCTCAGCCCAGTCTGCACCCTCTCCAATCTGGGACCCCTTGAGGGATGTCTGCCTGTTTAGGTCCAATTTAAATGGGCAGTTGGACATCCCTATCATAATCGAGGGCTGCTAGCTCCCAAACGCTCACCTACCTGCCTTCCTGATTGCCCCTAACTGCTTCTGCCTGCCAGACTGATTGATGCCTAACTCCTCCCCTGCAAGCCTGTTTGTCCTTAACTGCTCTCCCCTGCAGGCCTGGTCTCTGTCCGTCCAGTCCCGTCCCGTCCTGTCTCGTCCCACCCCTCCCCTTCCCCCCCGCAACTGCTCTCCCCTACAGGCCTGGGTCCCTCCCAACTGCCCTCCCCTGCTGGCCATCTTATATCCACATGGAAGCAGGATCTTTGACCACATGGGGGCAGCCATCTTGTGTGCTGGAGTGATGATCAATTTGCATATTACTCTTTTATTATAGGATAGAGGCTTGGTGCACAGGTGGAGGCCGGCAGGTTTGCCTTGAAGGGTGTCCCGGATCAGGGTGGAGGTTCCCTTGGGGTGTAGGGTGGCCTGGGTGAGGGGCCTGTGGTGGTTTTCAGGCTGGCCACGCCCCCTGGCTACCCGAGCAGAGGCTCTGGTATCTGGGGTTTATTTATCTTCTACAATTGAAACTTTGTAGTCTGGAGCAGAGCCAGGTCTTCTTACTCCATGGCAGCGGCCGTTTCTGTTGAGATTAATGTATATTCTATACTTGAAACTTTGTAGCCTTAAGCAGAGGCCTGGGCCAGCCAGGTTGTGCAGAAAGCGTGGCTTCCTCCATTGCTGGGGGCAACCCTAGCCTGCTGCTCTTTCCAGCTCCATGTCTACCGTCATTTGTTTGGATATATGTATCTTCTATCATTGAAACTTTGTAGCCTTAAGTGGAGGTTTAGGCTAGCAAGGGCAGGTGGAAAGCTTGGCTTCTTCTATTGTTGGGTAACCCAAGCCTCCCTCCTGCTCTCTGAGGCGGTAGCAATCTTGGCTGGATTTTCATATTCACTCCTGATTGGTTGGTGGGCGTGGCTGGTGGGCATGGTAGAGTGATGGTTAATTTGCATTTTACTCTTTTATTAGATATGATTTATTTCTCTCAGACAATTCCTATGGCTTTTTAAATTTCAAGTGGCAAAACCATAAATGATGTTAAAAGCAGCTACTGTATTGGCTAAATTATGAAAATACCGCCACATATAAAAATTATTTAAATATTGGTCTCTGTCTTTTTTCAAACACATTTATCAAAGTATAACTGATATAAACTGCACTGTATAGTATAAAGTGTACAATTTTAGAGCTTCAGTCATATATATTCACGAAAGCATCACCAAAATCAAGATAACGTACCTATCCATCATTCCCCAAAAGTTCTTCATACCTCATTCCTCTTTCTCATCATTTCAGGCAAACATGGTCCCTTTTCTAGAAATTTATATAAATCAAATCATACACTATGTATTTGTTTTAGTCTGGTTTCTTGTAATAGGCACAATTATTTTGAGCTTCACTCATGACTGTATATTAATAATAATTCGTCCCATTTTATTACTCAGTGGTCTTCCATTATGTAGATATATTACTTTTATTTATCCATTAACCTGTTCTAGCTGCTGTGGATATTACTGCATATATCTTTGTGTGAACATATGCTTTCATTTCTTCTGAGTGAAAATCCAGAGGGAAAAGCTTGATTGTGTAGGTGTTTTTAAGAAACAACCAAACTGTTTTCCAAAGGCATTGCACTATTTTACATTCCCACTGGCAATGAAATGACAGTTCTAGGTCCACAATCCTCAACATTTACATATGTTATATTTTTAACTTCAGTTTTTCTTGTGGGTATGCAGCACTTTTAGTTTCATTTTGCATTTTCAAATGTTGAACATTTTTTCATGTGCATATCTACATATATTAGTATGTGTTCAAATATTTTCCCAGTACAGTACTAGGTTACTTTTATTATTGACTTGTGCAAGTTCTGTAGATATTCTAAATACAATTCATTTTTGTGATATATGTTTTGCTATTATTTTCTTCCAGTCTGTGGCTTGCCTTTTCTTTTTGTATATAATTTTCAAAGATTATAAGTTTTTAATTTTAATGAAGTCTAATTTATCAATTTTTTAAATGATTTGTGCCTTTTTGTTATCTTAAGACATCTTTTAAACTCAAGATACTAAATTTTTATTAGGTTCAATAATTTTTATATATAGTTCTTGCTTTTAGTTCTATAATCCATTATATATTTTTTTTCATACACATGTTCCCCACACTATCTAAAGTAGGGAGTTCTCTGAAGCTTTTCCTAAGCCAAAATGTGTAGTAAACAGTGTCTTCTACTTTCTGAAAGTTCAACTTACACCAGTTCAGTTTTACAAAAGACCTACTTTATTGCTGGGACAGCATTTCTTTTCTTTTCTTTTTTTTTTTCATAAAACCAAAAATTCCTCTTTGGACTTCTAAAGCAGCGATACCTATATAATATAGTATTTTGTAAGAACTGAGGATTATTCTCCTATGAAACTGCAGGTTTAAGTTTTTTCTTTGCCCATTAAATTGTTTTGGGAATGCTGTCTAAAATTAATTCAGCTGAGACATATACATCTATTTCTTGACTCTATTACGCTTCAGTGGTCTATATGACCAGAGTTTTTGCCAATAGCAGAGTTTCTTGATCATTGTAGCCTGATAATTACTCCTCCAACACTATCTTTCTTTGTAAAATTGTTAAAGCTATTCTACATATTTTGATTTTCCATATAAATTTTAGAATCAGTTTGTCAATCCTATGAAAAAAAACTCTTGGAATTATAATGGGGATTGTAGTGAATAAACAGATTAAATCAAGAACGTGACTCCTTACCAATATTGAACCCCCTGATCCATGAACATAGTGTCTTTTTATTTCTCTAATTTCTCTCAGTAATATTCTATAGTTTTTCATATATATCTTTTGTCCATTTTACCCTAAAAGTCCATATTTTCTGCAATTATATTTTAAGTATTTCAGAATTTAAATTCACAATTGTATATGGCAAGTATTTAGAAATATAATTGATTTAAGCATGTTTGCTTTGTATCATGTAACCTTGATCATCATTTCTTGTTTCTAAGCATTTTTTTTTGGTAGAATACTTGAGATTCTCTAGAGACAAGTCATAAAAATGCAAAAAAACAAACAAACAAACAACAAAAAAAACCCACCCAGCTTTATTTTCCAATCTACATGCTTATTTCTTTTTCTTCCTTTATAGCATTGCTTAAAAACTCCAGTCTAATGTTTAATAGAAGTGGGGAGGGTTGACATTCTTGCTTCTCTCTAATCTTTGGGGAAAAGCATTTGATATTTTTGCCATTAAGTATTAAATTAGTTTAATATTTTTCATAAATGAGCTTTATCAGAATAAGAGTTTTTCTTTTATCCCTAGTTTTGAGATATTTTGCAATTAATAAACATTAGCTTTTTGCCAAACCATTTTTCTTCATCTACTAAGATAATCATATGGTTTTCTTCCATAATTTGTTAATGTGGTGAATTATACTGACTTTTGAACATATAATCAATCTTGTAGTCCTGGGTAAACCCCACCTGTCAATAAGATACTATCCTATACACATACCACAGAATTCAATTTGCCAAAATCTGCTACCACTTTTATTTCTATATTCATGAGAAATACTCGTCTATAGTTTTCTGTTGTTTGATTATCTTTTTTACTTTTGATTTCAGGAAAATCCTACGCTCATAAGTTAGTTGGGAAGTTTTATCTCTTCTTTAATTTTCTGGAAAAGTAATTAGAGAACTAGTATTATTTCTTTCTTAATTGATTAGTATAACTCACCAGTGAACGATTTTGCAGTTAAATTTTTGGTGGCTGTTCAACTATTATTTTAAAATATTCATTTTTAAAAATATGTTTTATTGATTTTTTACAGAGAGGAAGGGAGAGGGACAGAGAGTCAGAAACATCGATGAGAGAGAAATATCAACCAGCGGCCTCCTGCACACCTCCCACTGGGGATGTGCCCGCAACAAAGGCACATGCCCCTGACTGAAATCGAACCTGGGACCCCTCCTTCCGCAGGCCAACGCTCTATCCACTGAGACAAACCGGTTTCGGCTAAATATTCATTTTGATTTTATTTTTTTATTATTATTTTAATATATATTTTATTGATTTTTTATAGAGAGGAAGAGAGAGGGATAGAGAGTTAGAAACATTGATGAGAGAGAAACATTGATCAGCTGCCTCTGGCACGCCCCCTACTGGGGATATGCCCACAACCAAGATACATGCCCTTGACCAGAATCCAACCTGGGACCTTTCAGTCCGTAGGCCAACGCTTTATCCACTGGGCCAAATAGGTTTTGGCTAAATATTCATTTTTAATGTAATATAGGGATACTGAGATTATCTTTTCATCAGAGAGCTTCAATAGCTTGTGTGTTTTAAGATATTTATCTGTTGTTTATTATATACCACTATTCTCTTTAATTATCTATGAAATGTGTACTGATATGCCCCCTTTTTATTCTTTATATTGATAACTTGTTTCTTCCTTCTTTTCTCTTACTCAATGTACCTAGTTCATCAATTTTACCAATCTTTTTAAAAAGTAGCTTTTAATTTCATTAATTTTCTCTATCATTTTTCTGATACCTATTTTATTGATTTATTCTCTTATCTTTATTATTCCTTATCTTCTGCTTTCAAGTTAATTGCCTTTCCCCACCAAGTTCTTGATATGTAAATTGTTATCATTAATTTGAAACCACTCTTATTTCCCAATAAGGTGTTTAATTCATACATTTTCTACTTAACATTGTTTTGCTTTTAGCTGCATCCCTCTAATTTTAATATGTAAGGGTTTATTTTTATTCAGTTCAAAGTATTCTGAACTATCCTTTTGTTGCTTGGGTTATTTAAAGGTATATATTATTTAATTTCCAACTCTCAGGGAGATTTTCTGGATATTTTTTTGTTAATTTCTCACTTAATTTTATTATAGTTAGAACACATATTTTTTATGTTTTGAATTCTCTAAAATACACAAAGATTTGTAAATCCAGTCTCTATAACCTCATCATGGCTAAAGACAGAAATTCCAGAATAGCTCTTTTATTTGTAAAATTCAAAATTCCTTCATGTATTTGTGTAGTAATACAGTTGGATGTTCAACTAAACATATTCCTTTCTCACATGCTTCTCACTCGTGAGTAGTGAAAAGTGGGGAGATGTTATATATTTGGAAATTCTTTTAAATCAACTTTAACTAATATCCTACATAATAAAAGCACAGCATGCAAATTGTTCCCTCAACTGAGAGTTAAACTGGGAGTTCAATAAGGGGGCAAGGATGGCCCCGGGGAAGGGAGGGAATAACAGGCTAGTGGCTGGCAGCCACTAGGGATCCTACTAGTGCACAAATTTTATGCACTGGGCCTCTAGTAATCTTATGATTAATAAAACTTTAGCTATTTATATAAAGATTATTTCTAAGTGTTATGAGCTTATGCGTCTTTGTGTTTCAATATTTAACATATGCTTTGTTATCGGTTTGTAACTTCTTAAGCCAATGAGAGTTTGTGTGAAGGTGGGTAGGGATGTTTACAGTGAGAATCTATCTTTAAATTTCTTTTGACTTCACAGTTCTACTACACATTAAAATTATGAATAGTACAAATAAATAATGCATAAAATTAGTTTCAACTGCTAGAAACAATAACCAAGTCTACTGAAAATAGAAACTGATTTCTAAGACCCCATTTCTTTTTCTTACTTCAATATATATGATTTTTGGCAACCTGTAAGTGCTGATAAAAATACCCTCCTCAGCAGTGTAAGCTAATGGCATCTCTGTGCTTTGGTTGAAGTTATCACAGGGTATGCTATATTTTAACACAGTTTTCAAACTCAGTAGCAGCAAGCATGAGCTACATATTAAATAATAAGTAAAAAGTTAAACTGACACCTTTTTAAAAACCTGTGTCTTTTATCACGTAACTGAATATAAGCACCAACCAGGAGTTGGTTAACTACCCATAAATCCCACATATCTGCTTCAAAGATGTCAAGTTATAGAATGCATTGCTGTAACCATGCCAAATTAAAGAATACCTCATTTGTGGAACAATCTTTTACAAAATTGTGCAATACTCTTCTAAATAAGTGTCTTTTCTGAATGGGAGTAGAAGTTCTTTTTATTCCTTAAGCTAAAGGAACACCTGGATATCCTGACCCTTCCCCTGCAAGAAATAAATCTCTCTAGAAAGATGCTGAAGACTTGTTTCATGTATTTCTCTAGCATTCAGCTGAACATTCTCACGACCCCCAAACTAGCTCTGGTACATAAGTGTTGATATCACAATTGTTCATTATGCAAGATTAAAAAAGTAACTTATTTGAGTCAACACTATGAAGAATAAAAGAAATGAAAACTCTGTAAAGCACTAAAATCTAGGAACATAAAAGAAAAGGTCAAGGTACATATGAAAATGTAATTGGAAGTAATAATTTTAAATAATGTTATATAAATTATGAATACACTCCAACGGACACATTGGAAGAAATTGTTGAAATTAGCAAACTGCGATAAAGAGCAGCTATAATCCCAAACTTTCATGTGAACATTGTGATGACTGAAGGGGTTTGTTCAGCTTCTCTGGAGGTACAAGGAGTTGTCAGATGACCTTAGTTCCCTTTTGAAAATGGCTTGTTTATCAGTCTGATACTTTATAACGTAAAGATTAAAGACTGAAAAACTGATTATAAATCAAGCTATATTCCCCTTAGCTTGCATTATAAATGTTCCATATGTTTGCAGGAAAAGTAGTTTTCAAAATTATACACTAAAGAAAAGTGTAACTGAGTAATTCAGCCTTACTACTAATAATAGGTCACACAAAATTCAATACTTTAATGAAAACTAGTTCCCTTTAGGGCTAATATGTGTTTATGAGATGACCACTGAAGACCTACACTCAAGCATATTATCTCCACAATTAATTTTTGTCCAGTAAGCATGAATTTCTGCACGCAAATCAGACCTATATTTTGAAAAGCTAATATGAACAATATAATAACTAACTGTTGACACCTGGTACTTGCTATGTACTATAATAGAAGCCCTTTACATGTTTTATATTATTTAATTCTCACAGCAACTTGATAAAATAATTGCTATTATTATTTACACTTTTCAGATAAGGAAACTGAACAGAGACAGATCAGATAAGGTGAACTGTCTTGCTTTAGCTCCATAGTAGATCCAGGCAACCTGGTATCTGTGCTTTTGCATTATACTGCCTAACAAAATAGATTTGCATTGCAAAGATAGCCAGTGCAAAAGGAAGCTTTTAAAGGGATGATCTACAGAAGAAAGTTTGATTTCAACAGAATTTTTCAGCAGATAAGAAAAGTTCTTGAATTCTACATTGCAGCCCATAAAGTTTTTGAAATCTTACAGTCCAAAAGAAAAAGCCAATTAGTAAAGTTATACAAAAAAATTGGCATAATACTGCCACACGCAGTTGGAGAAAAAATCATATTCACAATACACTGACAAAGAACTGAAAGTTACTGTAGGAGTGAATGAAATTAATGAGTTGACATTCAAATTTGACACTGGTTCAAATTTGAATGTCAAATGCCCCCAAAATAAACACAAATTAAAAATTAAGAACCTCTGCTTAATTTTACCTTTTGATTTCGAGGTAAATCTTGAGCATTTGATGGAGGCTTGTAATTCAGAACTAATCTTCTAAATTCCAAAAGATTAAATAATGACTGAAAAAGAACAACAATTTAAGAAATATAAGAAAAAATTCTATTACAGAACAGTAAAAATATGATGTTTCAGAGGTTTATTTTTGACAATTATGCACTTTATCACAGAATTATTCCAATTGGTGCAAGAAGGCCTATTATTCCCAAGAAAAGTCAAATTACTTATATTTGGAGATACTGTTCTTGATCATTAATAATTATTTATAGTACTGAAAAGTCAAAATTATACATGGACAACTCAAACAAACATACTATGTATTATATTAAAATCGCTCTTTGTTTATGTTATACTGTGCCTAATATGCAGTTTCCTCAAAATAAAAGTTATACAAATGCAAAAGTCTAGAACTTTTTAAACATTTAGCTTTACTGTAAGTTATCTAGAGGTATTAATTCTACAAAAATATAGCACAGGTAAATTTATGAAATATTTATGTGACTCTAAGATATAGCAGTATTGTTCACACAGAGTATGACAGCATATAAACTATAGCTTAATATCCAGTCATCATGATAAACATTTGTCTAAAAAATAAAATGAAATACAATGTAAAATCTGAGCCATATTCATATACAGTAAATTCACCACAGAATACTCTTTGTAAAGTTTCATTGTAGGTTTTTTACATGCATGTATATGAATACACATAAAGTGTTTTACAAAGTAAAATGTACTCCTTTCTGTGAGTCTCAGTTTATAAAGTTTGAAAGTCACTGTATAGGAGGTGATAATGTATTAAATCTAAGTAAAGACAAGTTACCAAGTTGTTAGAAGACAAAAGAGACACCACAAATCAATAAGAAAACAAAGTTTTTTTTTGATAGTTGGCTGTAGAGAGAAGTAGTCCACTGTAGTAGTTATAGTTATAGATATATAAATATATATTTGGGTTAAAGACATAAATATGAAAGGTAAAACCATAAGTCTACTAATAGAAACTGTTGGAAAACATTTTATCTTGTGATCTAGAAAAACTTAACTGAACAATATGCACATATGAAATAATTCACTTATACATCCATTCAACAAACTTTTATGGAGCACCGCCCCCAGTCCCCAGTGCATCATCATAGCAACTGGTAGACTAGTCATAACGATTGCTTAGGCTTCAATATATATAGATGACTGATTTTTCTGAATCTGAGTCAGTTAAGTCAATAATATTCAAAGACTAAATTTCTTACATTCCGAAGAAGGAGATGTTGTATGGATGGACAAGTAAATCTTATCTAATGGATATACACAAATAAACAAACTCTAGTTCTGGTTTCATATCTTCGTTACATCCCCTAAAATTTCAGGGAAATACATACAGAAATATTTTCTTTCCACTGTGACAATAATTCCTAACCTCAGGAAGGGAGAAGAGATTAGTTTCAAATAAGAAATTAATTCAAAATAATTCCAAAGAAGGCAAAGGGAATGCTCTCCTATTAAAACTCCATCCTAGGACTGAGGAACAGAGGAGGTTGAGGAATGCTGCAATCTCTACACTAGTTCATTGGACAGAAAATCACATTAAAACCTTGCCTGAAGCTCTGTTTAAAGTACACAACTTAAAAGAAACCCAACTCCAACCCACTCTCCACTGCTATGTGCCCAGCAAATAAGATCTGCATAATATTCTTACCTGAATAACAGCACTAAACCAGCAAGTGTTGCCAACATTCTTTAGACCAACAGGAGCTCTGTCCTGCCTTTTCCTATCATATGGGTTTCGAGAATCCCTCCACACTTCTGTAGGTGTCCTCTTTAAACATGCTTTGTTTTCTGCTATGCTGGCTTCAAGAACTCTTAAGCAATGGAGAGAAAATAATAAAAACACACATACAAAACCAGTTATAATTTAGTGCTGTACTAAAATAGCATAAACTAAAGATTTTTAATTACTTAAAGCTCTAGATAATGTATTTGGGGAAGTACTATTTAGGACTATCTTTAATCAAGCAGAGGTTAGTTTTATTTAAAAATATAGCAGTGGTAAAGAATTGAGACATGCAGCCTTTTTTTCTAAGAAACAGGAAATTTCAAATATAATGTTTTTAATAGAAACTATGTTAAATTATGTTTCAAAAAATTAAAGGCTTAGTGGCAGGACTATAGAAAGCACCTAGTTAAGTTTTCTGAGAAATCACTGTTTTAAAGTACATATTTACAATGTAACAAAATGACTAGTTTTTATAACAATTACTTTGAATCATCAAGAAAACAGTAAAAACTACAAATGCACTTTTCACCTCTGACCATTAATTTGCTGCTTTTTAAATATTTATTATTTTATTTTATTGATTTTTTTACAGAAAGTAAAGGAGAGGGATAGAGAGCTAGAAACATCAATGAGAGAAAAACATCGGCCAGCTGCCTCCTCACACCCCACACTGGGGATGTGCCTGTAACCAAGGTACATGCCCTTGACCTGAACCAAACCCGGGACCTTTTAGTCCCCAGGCTGACACTCTATCCATTGAGCCAATCCAGTTTCAGCTGCTGCCATATATATATATATATATATATATATATATATATATATATATATATATATATATATATAATTATATATATATATAAAAGTTAAGGTAAATGCTAGGTTTCCTTTTAGTTCTAGAGATCTGACTTTATGACAGCTAAATAAAGGGAAAAAACACTTATGTATTCACTTCACCCAAATTTTTTCCTACGGAAAATCCCAGTGAAATAAATATCTACATATCAGAATAATAAAATATGAACCTCTTCAAAATAAACTCACATACAGAATATCTTAAACATACCTAAACATGGCAAGAGCAATGCTACTTTGCTCTTGCAACAACAGGCTGGGAAACCCTAGTTCCCACAATGAACTAACAAGCATATTGCCTGCTCAAGACATGCATTACTCTTCCAAATAAGCATAAATAATAGTCAGGTGTCTTATCCCATTTTGTACATTACAAAAACATTGCAACAATGAGCTTTTTTAACTTTTTGAGCTCACCATTTTTATCCTAAAGATTTTACTCTATCAGATTAATTTCAAAATAATATAGTTATATTCTTTAATTGTGTGTGTGGGTGAAATAAATGATTACTCTAACAGCATTATTTACAACATGACATTAGATACAATGTAGTATGATTCCAAGTTATTACTTAAAATAAGTTATGTGAATATAGAATAAATTTTTTTTTGGGGGGGAATAGGTTTTAAACTGCAGGTAACAATATATTTTAAAATATATAGAACAACATAAACTCACATTTTTAAAAATAAACAGTTCACACCTCTGTCACTATTACAAGTGATCAAACATTAGCAACATACTTTGCCTAATAATCATCTCTCAAAAGCAACCTAGGCTACTAGACGCTTTTTCTCAAGCTATTTACCAATAAAAGGTACCAAAACTCCTTGGAAGGATAGAGATAAAAAGTCAAAGAGCCAATTGACACTTCCTACTGTTTAAGTTGGACAGGTCGGCACAACATAGCACAATAATAACAATCAATTGGAACAAACTGGCTTTGTACATGGTAACTAATTTATACTCAGCAGAAAAAAGTTAATTCATAGCATACAAAACATAAATATGACACAAAAGACTGCTTAAGAAGATATGTTGAATTTTACATAGGAAGATATATTGAATTTTTACTGACTTATAAAGTGAGTGTTTTCTTTTGAAAATATTTTCTCTTTGTAATACATATGTATATTTAGAAGTATAAATAAGGAAAACTTATTTATATCTTGGTAATTAGAGATGAAAGAACTAATAAAACATGTAATGAGTTCTGGGAAAACTCAGCAATACCTCAAACAGAGAAGAATAAGCACCAGTGGTCACATATAAGCGATTGGAGAGGCACCTAGCAACTGTACAAGTCCTTGATATGTACAATAACCACTTAAAGAGAGAATTCTAGAGCTTATTTTTATTTTTATTTTTTTATTTATTTTATTTCATTTTTTTACATATTTTATTGATTTTTTTTGCCCCCCTCCCTTCCTCCCACATATCCCCTCCCTCCCCAGAGTTTTATGTCCATTGGTTGTACTTATATGCATGTATACAAGTCCTTCGGTTGATCTATTATCTCCCCCAGATCCTCCTCCCCTCCCCTAGAGCTTATTTTTAAAGTATAATCTAGTCAAAGGTCTAGAGGAATTTCACTCAATCCTGAATTTCTTAGTGGGTGAGCCTATACTTACGACTAAATACAACAAAATACTAAGAAGAAACGATACCTTGTTGATAATGGCAACAGGCCAGATCACATTTATCATAATGACTAGGCAATGAGTCACACAGACATAACTTATAGAAAACTTGAGAATACCTAATATCTGAAAAATATACCTAATCTACAAAAATTAAAATCCAATCTTGAAGGGGAGAGTGGCTGTGATTGGAAGCCTTACCTTAACTTCAACCAGGAAGAACTCGGATACCTCCCAGGATCCTACAATCACAACACCCAGACCAGCTGCGAACCCATTAACACGAGATCTGAAGCAGTGCAAATACTCAGACACGGATAAGCCCTGCACCTTCTCACGAAAAGGTTAAATATCGCCTATAGAGAGGTGAGGTCCAGGCTGGAGGGAGAAACGCACACAGCAGAATCTAGAGTTTCAAAGGAAGTCTGCACCCCACAAAATCCGTCACCATTGGATCAGCATAGCCCGGGGTCCACAGGGCTGTTGGCAGAAGGGAACTCTAGAAATCAACTCATAGCTGGGCTGGGCACAGAAAGGCAGCCCTAAGTATATCGGCTGCACAATGCCAAGGGAAAAAAACATGCACAGAGACGTGCACAATACTGGGGGAAAATGTCACGAGTCCATGAGCTTATTCTTGCTTTATTTTTCTTTACATTCTTGCTTTTGATTACTAAACTCAGCACACAGATCCCCCAAGTGAAGGCCATAACAAGAGATAAGGAAGGCCCCTTCATAATACTAAGGAGAGCAATTCAACAATAAAATATATACTCTGTTAAACATATATGCACCCAATACAGGAAAACACACATTAAAAAAAAAAAATTCTGAAAGATATCAAGGAAGAGATTGACAGCAATACAGTCATAGGAGGGGAATTTAATACCTCACTAACACCATTGGACAAATCCTCTGAACAAAAAAATTAGCAAAGAAACATCAATCCTAAATGACTCACTAAATCAGATGGAATTGACATCTTCAGGACATTTCACACCAAAGCTACAGAATATATATTCTTTTCAAGTGCACAGGGACCATTTTCAAAGACAGACCATATGTTGAGACATAGGCAAAGTCTTTTCAAATTCAAGAAGATAGAAATCATATCAAGCATTTTTTCAGATCACATTGGCATAAAACTAGAAATCAGCTACAATAAAAATTTTTAAAAAATTAAACAACTGGAGGCTAAATAGCATGCTATTAAAAAATGACTGGGTAACCAGAGATCAGAGAAGAGGTAAAAAAAAAACCAAAAACAAAAAACAAACAAACAAACAAACAAAAAACACATTATGGCAACAAGTGACAATGAAAACACAACAATCCAAAATCTATAGGACACTATGAAAGCAGTATTGATAGGGAAGTTCATAGCTCTACAGGCCTACCTCAAAAAAATAAGACACAATGGTAATAAATTATCTAGGCCTACAATTCAAAGAGATAGAAAGAGAGCAACAAGAAAAGCCCAGTATAAGCAGAAGAAGGAAATAATAAAGATCAGATCAGACATAAACGACATAGAGACAAAAAAAAAAAAGTTCAACAAAACCAAGTGCTGTTTTTTTCAAAGGATAAACAAGATTGCTGAACCTCTTACCAAGGCTTACCAAGAAGCAAAGAGAGAGGAGCTAAGTAAATAAAATCAGAAATGAAAGAGGTGAAGTAACAACCGATCCCACAGAAATATAAACGATTATGAAAAAATACTATGAATAACTCTCTTACAACAAAATGGACAACCTAGATGAAATGGACATATTCTAAGAACAACACAAGCTACCAAAATTCAACCAAGAAGAATTAAAAAAACCTGAATACACCAATAACTACCTAAGAAATTGAAAGAGCAATAAAAAATCTTCCAGCAAAAAGTCCTGGTCCGGATGGCTTTACAGGAGAGTTCTATCAAGCATTCAAAGAAGAACTAAAACCCATCCTCCTCAGACTATTCCAAAAAATTCAAGAGGATGGCACACTTCCAAGCTCTATGAAGCCAGCATTACCCTAATCCCAAAACCAGATAAAGACACCAAAAAAAAAGAGAACTACATGCCAATATCCTTGATGAACATAGATGCTAAAATCCTAAACAAAATTCTAGCATATCAGATTCAGCAATACATTAGAAAGATCATACACCATGACCAAGTGGGACTTATTCCGGGGATGCAAGAATGGTGCAATATCTGCAAATCAATAAATGTGATACATCACATAAAAAAACTGAGGGACAAAAATCACATAATCATATCAATTGATGCAGAAAATGGATTTGACAAAATCCAACACCCTTTCTTGATAAAAACTGTCAGCAAAGTGGTAATAGAGCAATCATACCTCAATATAATTAAAGTCCTATATGACAATCCTACAGCCAACATTATACTTGGGCAAAAACTAAAACTATTTCCCCTAAGAATAGGAACAAGACAAGGATGTCACTTTTACTACTCCTGTTCGACATAGTACTAAAAGTACTAGCCATAGAGACCAAACAAGAAGAAGAAATAAAAGGTCTCCAAATTGGAAAAAGAAGTAAAACTGTCCTTATTTGCAGATGACATGATAATACACATAGAA